TCTTTACAACGCACTAAAACAAGCTGGAATTCATGCTTTTAGGGATAGTGATGATATTGATAGAGGTGAAGAACTAAAGCCGGAAATCAAGAAAGCAATCAAAGCATCAAAGGCTTCAATAATTGTGATCTCAAAAAACTATGCAACTTCTACATGGTGCCTTGATGAGCTTTCGTTGATTCTCTTGCAAAGGAGTGAGAACAATCATTTTGTTCTACCAGTTTTTTATCACGTTAACCCCACAGATGTGAGGAATCAAAATACATCTTTCCATATAAAAGTCAGAACATCTCCAAGGTGGACATATGATAACGTGCAACGATGGAAGATAGCCCTCAGGAAGGTTGCTAATATCACTGGTTTGATTCTTTCTGGGTATGTTTTATGTTCTTGCTTTTAATCGTTACTGAAGTACATTTTAATAGATCCCATTGCAATCTAACAAAAAAAAACAGAATTTTAAACTCTTTTCCAACTCTAAATCAACCTATGGGCCTCCAAGTAATGATACTAGTGTTTAACCCTTGACTATATTGGTAGATTGTACTTTATACTTGGAACGATGTTATTTACATCTAACTTTATAAAAAATCCCTCAATGCCATCTTTTTAACTTCCTCATTTTTCTTGGTTTGTTACAGGCATGAGGTGGAATTTTTGAAAGATATTGTTGACACTGTTTACAATAAACTTGATCGCAGACAAATTTATCTTCCACCCAATCTAATTGGGATGGATGCTCGATTTCAAGAGATCAATTCTTGGTTATTACAACCCCATGCCAACTTTTTAGCAATTTGTGGCATGGGAGGAAGTGGCAAGTTGACATTGGCCCAGTACATTGTCTATTCCAATTGGCAAAACTTTGAGAACATCAGTATTGTTGAATGCATTGGTAGTAGATGTAAAGAAAGGCATGATTTGCTTGAGGTACAAGAAGAACTTCTCAAAGATATATTAGGGGGAAAGAACAGAAGAATACCAAGTGTTTGTCAGGGTACGTATAAGATTGAAGAAGTCTTACGAACAAAGAAGGCACTAATTGTTCTCGATGACATCGTTGAATCGAGCCAATTGGTAACTTTACTTGGAACTGGGAATATTAACAAAGCAAGCAAGATTATAATAACAACTAGAGACCATAACATAGGTACATGGTTAAAGTCCAAATATTCTAGGAGGTATCATAAGTACAGAATGAAATTGTTGGATGATGGCGAGTCACTAGAGCTTTTAAGTCTTCATGCCTTTGGATCCAAAATTCCTGAGATACAATACGAGGAGTTTGCAAAAAAGGTAGTACAGTATTGTAAAGGGCATCCGTTGGCTCTTGAAGTTTGGGGTTCCTCTATGTCAGAACATAATAGCTTCTCATCTTGGAGAAGTGCACTAAATTTACTGGAAAAAGATACTCCTCACAGTATTTACAGTGTACTTAAAAGGAGCTATGACCTGTTACCATTTAACTCTGACAGAGAATTGTTTTTGCATATTGCTTGTTTCTTTGTTGGCATGGACAAGGATTATGTGGTAACCATATTAGAGCCTGATTACTCTGCAGAATCTAGAATCGAAACCCTGACCAAGAGAAGCCTTCTTTATGTTACACCAAACAATAAACTGATGATGCATATATTGCTTCAAGATATGGGAAGAAGCATAGTCAAACAAGAATCACAGGTAATTGCAGAACGTAGTAGAGTTTGGCGCAATGAGGACTCATATGAAATGTTGAGAAATGGAAAGGCAAGATGCTTCTTACTTGTATGTTTAATTAAGTTAGTACCCTTTCCCGCCTCATATTTCATCTAATCAAGACTCTATTATTTCACTCTTCTACTGTTTAGAGAGCAAGAAGAATGAGAGGTTTGGCACTTGACATTCATATGCTGATGGAAAAGGATGGATTCAATAATGAACTCATAAGGAAACATATAAAAGAGGTATGGTTGTTTAACAATCCAAGACCAATTAATGGTTGAGAAATGCAAGGTTGGAACACGTTATGTAATCTTTTTTCATTAAAACATGTTTGTATTCTTCTATATATATATGTACTTTTTGCAAATAAGATTGGTTTTATTACAATGAAAATAATTAAAAATATGGATAAATTTCTAATTCACTCTTTTACTTTTAGGTATTGTTTACTTGAGGCATCTTTGTGCCTAGATTTCTTCTATATATATATGAGGAAAACATACCAACACTTTTCACGTTAAATTTGCAGTTGCAGTCATGTTTTTTGCCTTATCAACTTCAAGAGATGGATCAACTAGAATTGCTCCAGATCAATTTTGTGCAATTCAAACAATTCACCAGGGATTTTGCTAAAAAATTGAGATGGCTCTGTTGGGTTGGATTCAACGAAAGATCCATGCCTGCCCACCTGTGCATGGGCAACATGGTCGCTTTAGATATGAGCTATAGCTGCTTGGAAGAATTTGAACCACCCATGGTAGGGGGCTGCATATCCTCTTTAAATTTTATTGCTCGGCCTTTGGCTTCTCAGTTTTTTTATTGTCTTTATGAATATGTGCAATGCCATGTAAATCTTTTTTTAATATATATATATATATATATATTTTCTTTTTGCAGGTTCTTCAGTCACTCAAGATTCTAAATCTTAAAAGCTCCAGATATCTAAATAGAATTCACAACATCTCCCGACTTCCTAATCTTGAGAGTTTGATTCTTTGGAACTGTCACATGTTGCATTGTGTTTGTAAAACCATTAAAGACCTTACTAGTCTTGAGCTATTGGATATGAGAGGGTGTGAAAGGCTGCAAAGTTCCTTTTTGTTGCCATGCTCATTAGTGCGTTTATTCCTCAAGGACTGCAATTTTGATCATTACAATGATTCTACTCTTAGTTTCAGTGATCATTCATTTTTGCAATACTTGGATCTAGGCAACAGTATGTTGAAAGTCCTGCCTTCTTACAATCATCTAAAAAATCTTCGAATCCTTGACTTGAGCTTGTCCTCTAGACTTGAATCGTTATATCTCCCAAGTACACTGGCAGAATTGTACATATATTATTGTACGTCACTGGAGAAGGTAACCTTTGAATCACATAAATTCACATTGCAAGAGTTTGGCTACGAAGGTTGTATTAATTTGTCCGAAATTGAAGGCTTTATCAAATTGGTACCAATAGCCAAATCTGATGAAGCAGATTTGGGACATAT